AATAATTTTAGGACGAAAACCTTTTTTGTGATTGGTATTTAACAGTTTGGGACTAAAGCTTACAAGAACTTTGTAATTGTTATCGATAATTGAAGTGATTTATCTGTAGTTCCTCAAATGGATAGTATTCATTGAGATTGAAAAATATAGTTTTTTATAACTGTTAAAAACTGATATACAGTGGTATATAACGCTTTACATACAACCAATCGAGTAAAACTCTATTGATCAACAAGAGAACAAACAGTTTCAAATTTTCATCTAACATACTGTTGATCATCAATGCTCTATCTAAAACAAAACGTTTACGATATAGAGGACGATTTTGACGTTATATACTACGCTGGTTATGATCAAATCAATTTCAAATTATTATCAAGCAACTCGGTATAATATTCTAGTTTGAAAACAATGATTGTACCAATTTTCTGATTTTATACGTCTCTACCCTTTTACATCTTTCATTATAAACGAAAATTAAAAGGAATAACAGATATTTTTTTCATGAATGAAAGAAACAAAACCAAAAAATTACGAAATGAAACGATTGATTTTTCTTTTTGTTTTCTTAGAATTGTTTTATTTACCTTCTTGATCAGATATAGTATTTGTTGAACTATTGGAATAAGTTCTAGAATTTCTTTTATATGATTCTTCAGTGTTTTTCTTCATTGTTGTTGAAATACCACCTGATCCAATCATTGTTTTTTTATTTTTTTTTGGTGATTGTCGTCGTCTATGATGTATTAAACTAAAATCAGTTTGTGTTTCCGCATCCACTTCATATGGTGATGTTATATTAGGAAATGTTGGTGATGTTGTTGTTGATGAATCTGTTGTTTGTTTACAACATTCAATATCAATAGCTAATGGACTTGTACTCATTGAACATGTATCTGGTTGTATTCTCTGTTCTAATTTTAATAAAGCTATTTCATTTCGTAAATCTTTTAATTCACGCATTAATTCAACAATTTGTTCAGATGATAAATTATTGCTTAGATTTGTCATTTTATTATTGTCATCATCATCCATTTTTTCTGTATAGAATGCAATTTCTCTTGGAGAATTTGCTCTTTGAGAATCTGTTGATGATCCTGTTTCACTATATATTCGATGATTATAATTATTGGCTCTTGAGTTTCTTACTGTTTTACCAGGATCAAATTCAGCTCGTGTAACATGACGAATACTTGTTGTTCGTGGAGATTGATTACGATTAGTTAAAGACTTATTTTTAGCATAATATGGTTCAGTAATCATTGAAAGAGCTTTAGTTTTACTATAAGATAAGGATTTTTGATCAGTAATAAATCGATTTTCTGTTCGATTTGTTCTATCAATTGATTTATTTCTATTAGATTTTGATGTACTTAAACTAGTAATAGATGCTGGTAAATTAGCAAAAAATAATTGAGCTTGTTGAAGAAATATTTGAGTAGAATCATTATTACGTAAACGAAATATTGATGCTGAATAAGGTCGATTTGTACGTTGTCGTGATTGATTAAATGTAACAACAACAATTATATTTAAATAATGTGGATCACGCCAAAAATAAAGTAATTCTGATTTTTTTAATATCCATGATTGACTTGAATCATTTATATTATGTATAATTAAGCCATCATCTGGTAGTGATATCTTTACCTTTAAACCTAACAATACAAAAATATCATATGACGAATAATGTTTGGTAAAATAGATGTATTGTTTGATTTTTAATTACGAACCTCGGGATTTTGCTTTTGACAAAACATTTTCAACTGTTTGTTTTAATATAGTTGTTGTATAATTTTCTAAATCAATACGATCAAGAAAATAAGCTGTTGATTGACTTAATGATAAAAATGAGCTTGATATTAATGCTGGAGGATTTTGTGTATTATGATGATGATGATTATTATCATTATTATTTTCATCATCATCTAAAGGAGGATTTGAATATGAAGAAACATGTTGAATTGGTCGCATTGGAGATGAATTATGAGAAGTATGACGATGATGATGACGATGCCGAACATAACTATGAACATTTGATTGTGGCTGTTGAGATTTTATGGAATTATAGTATTTATTATTCGACATATTCTATAACTATCAGAATCAAACAAAATATTACACTCAACTGATTAGGCGGACAATTTCATATTGGCTACGGCAATAAAAAAAAAAAAGGAAAAAGGATTAATGATTACTGCACGAATATGACGATGATGATCAAATGTAATTTATCAAGCATTACTGTTTATTGCACTCGTGAGAAGAGAAAAAAAGAAAAAAAAATGAAATAACCAGAGAAGGAAAAAAAAGCCAATAGATAGGTGATGATCATTCGTAATAGTAATGATAAAGGAGGACGGCTTCTTATTTGTAAAGTAACAACCATTTTTATTCATTCGTTTCGTTTCGTTTGTCTCATGGACACGCTCGAATGAATGCTTTAGAGTGTCCCTTGAAAAGACTTTACCAAATGAAATTCAACTTAACCGAGACGACAACGACAACTAGTTACGTTTATCGTTCAGTTTGCATACACACATACAAATATGAATATGTATATATATATGCATAGATTGCATTATATTAACTGAATTGAATTCATCGAACATAGGAAAAAAAAAAAGATGATGAACATCGAGACCAAAAACCATATCTCCTATGTTTTTTTTTCAACCCTTAAATTTCTTTTAAATAACCGTGATATATATATATATATGCATCAATTTTTCATTTATCTTAGTTATGATTAGCTTCTTTCTTTTTGTTGCACTGCTATTGTATGAGTGTTGTCAGCTTGCAGATGACACATGCTATCTCATGTATGAAATTGCAAGCTGTACGTGATGTATAGGATAAATCGTGCGATCAAGGCAAAAATGTTCTGTCTACAAATTGTCAAGACAAAAAAATTATGATTTAGAGATAAGTTGATAGGTTATTATATATAGATATGTTTGATATCTTATGTTTACGTATTATGAGAGTAAATCAAATTAAAACAACCATAATTTAATCGATTTTACTTTTCATTAATATTATTATGTATATCAAGCAATGTATCTATTGAGTAGTAATGAATAGTAGAAAAAAATGCAGTAAACTAAAAACAAGAACAACAAAACAAACAAACAATGATAATGTTAATAAAATTTGTGTAAGGTGTCGAAATTTTCATTCTTGACAGGTATATAATAACGTTAAAGTTTCTTATTGACATAATCTAGGCATTTTTTTCTTTTGTAATATTCTTTTCATTAAAATAAATGAATGCTCGAGGTTTTTCTTGTGATTAACTATCGAAGAACAAGGGGTGATTATTTCTTGGATAGTTCGTCACTAGAACATTTGTTCATTAATCTTAAATGAACTGATTGAATACATGCTTTTCTCTTTGTATAATAGAACACCTATGTCGTTTAATACACCCAAGCATATGAAATATCCAACGGAATATTCGATTTTAGAAGGTGCACCTTGAACAAAAAGTTTTATCATATATATATATCCAAAAATGATAGCTAATAATCATTATATAATTAATTATATTCACACTCATATCCTATCTCGATGACAGTTTTTTCTTACATTTAATACTGTCCGCCATGAAAACAAGGATGATGACTATCACATCTAAGTTCGAAAAAAAACATTAATTTTATTTGACTATAATGACTTTATATGCATGGATTATTCAAGAGAATGATAAAAAGATAATTTATAAGCACACACATACCAAGATATATGATTATCAAGGATACCAATGTGCAGATTTGGATTACATAATTCAATAACGAACATCTACTCTCATCATGATACAGAATCGTAGGAGATGAACGAGATTGATGAACTTCGATTCATTTTCTAGATTGAAAATTACATATGAAGAGTACGAATGAATATAGATTTTATGTTGTGAAAGATTATTACCGATAGTTAATATTCTGAAAAATTTTGTGATTGTGCATGACATACAGCTGTTTTATGTACGTGATATATAAGTTTGTAATTATTGCTGATAGATTATCCGAGATTTGCATATGGCGAGCAACTGTTTTTTTGTTTGTTTTTGACAAACTTTACCCATGAATACATAAAACATATTTGTATGTTATTGTTATTTATTCATGAACATGTATGAATAATTTTTGTATTTGATTAAATAGAAATCAAATAGTGAATGAAACACAACAACTAAAATAAATCTTTTTCAAGAGTTAAAAACAATAGAATTTATTTTATATTATTCAAAAAAGATCTTCATAATAAATCATTATACTATTCATTATTTGAAAAATTTATTAGACAAAATCTTTTCTCTTTTTTTTTTTTGAATATTGTTCATTTAATATTCTATTTCGATTGATTGCTAAAAAAAACCAAAGCATCATGCTGTGTTCTTTTTTCTTTTTGTTATAATCATAGTACAGTTTTGAATGAAAAAAAATAAACACGACAAAAAATTTAAATAATATCGTCTAAAGGATCGACTTACGAAATACAAAACGCACAAAGAACGCTTAAAGCAAGACAAGGTTATTTTGCTCTATCATCACACTTTCATATTAATATACAACAATAAAAATCGACTACAACGAAAAAAAAAAGGAATTAAGAACGCAAAAAAGATAATTTCATAGCAAAAAAAAACCAACATGGAAGAACTGAAGAAGTGTTTCTCTATTCTATATATACGAATGTATATAATAATAGAAAACAAGCTAGGTCTTGTATTAACAAGAGAAAAAAGAAAAAAAGAAATGCGTTACTTTGTATCCGCAGATGAGTTTGTTTTTTTTTCCGCAAAACAAGGGTTACAGAAAAGATGCTGTGTCTTTTCAGTTTACATATATATCTATATACATTTTTCAGAATTGATAATAGATGTAAAAATACGAAACCAAAATAAAAGAAAACTGAAAAGAAAACAAAAAAAATATATAGATTTGTTTTTTTTTTTAATCAACTATTAGTGTCATTCTTGAGAAAATTTATTATTACTAGTTAACAATAATAGCTGATTCTGTACGTGATTTCTTATCTGTTTTACTTTTTGATGTTGAACCACAATAAATACTACTTGATGTTGATCTTGTCCCATTACAGGTCATATTATTATTATCATCAGTTGTTTCAATTGTTGTTGTTGTTGTCATTTGATGTAATTTCTCCCAATCTCGTAATTGTACAATAAAACTAATATTAGGATCAACTATTTGACGTAATTGACGCATTTTATTAAATGCTTCATCTAATGTCATATTATATTTTTTTATCATATAAGCAAGTACTAAAGTTGGACTACGACTAATACCAGCTGAACAATGAACAAGAACATTATTGTTTTTTGTATGCAATGCTTCATCTAGATTTATAAAAAAAAAAAATTTTTTTTTTTCTAACAAATAAATCAATTGTTAACTAACCAATAAATTGAAAAGTTTTATCAAAATATTTTCGAATATTTTCAGATGGTAAATCCAATACATCAACTCGCATATATTGATAGTTTTTTTCCCAGAAAAGTGGTAAATCAGGTGTTGAATTTACAATATGTGTTATACCATTTTGATTTAAACGATCAAGATTTTGAGCATCAAGTATATTACCTAAATAAATTATCATATAGTATTTTATTTTTCTTTTCTTATCATATTCATTTTAAAGATATAAAAAGTTTCATATTTTAATTATTTATTCTATACGTCATATTTGCTGAATGACGTAATGTATTGAAATTATTCGATTCAATGAATTATATTGTCATCTATTTGATTTATTTATCAATAAAATTTTTACTATATCAATAAGTGTAGTATTTATTGAAATTTCAAGAAAATAAGTACATACCTACAAATATACGAGGTAAAATTTCAGTCATAGTAAAATTTTCTTTATCTACTGTTTCAGGAGTAGATGGTAAATGATCTTGTTCATGTTTTTCTTCTGATATTATTTCACAAGCAGATTCAATTAAATGTGGATATTGATTTTTAATTGCATCAAAACCACCTAAGATATACATATAGATATAAATATATATTTTTTTTTGTTATTGATTTTTACCTTGAATAATATGTACTATTTTATTTGATTTTTTTGCTGCTTGTATAACAAGATATATTGGTAATGAACGTAATTTTTCTTCAGTTCGTTCATCTGTTGATTGATCATAAAGAATAACAATATCAGAATCATTTAATGATGATATTAAATTTGGTTCAACATCTTCTAAACGTTTTGATATTAATTTTCTTGCCATAATTTTTGCTCGACAATTAACATTATATGATGAACGTATATGTTCACAACCAAAATCTATTTGTGAACGACAATCAATTATAGGATATGATTTATGTTCATGTATATTTGAATTTTCCGAAATTAATTCAAAAAATTGTTTTGGTGTTATAAATAAACAATTTCCATTTATTTTTGAAGACATTGCATCTGAACAACTATATGCTTTTGTTAAAGATATTCGTCTTTCTGATGAAGGATATTTAATTGTTAAATTAACAGTAGTACTTGTACAACTAGTAATATTTTTCATAAAAGATAAACTGTTCGAATTTGAAGTAGACTTTTCAACATTAGAAAACATATTTAGGTTCTTTTCAACCAATATAAAATCATTGACAAAAGGATTCATACCTGTAACAAAAAAAAAAAAGAAATAATATTCAAAACAAAAAAGAAGTTATTAGTTGTTAATATGACCTACACAATAAATCGAATATTTCTCAAAGGAAATTTCTCGTTTTCTTGTTGTTCTTTCCGAAGGGTTATTTACAGTCAATATTATTCGTTTTTTTTTTGACATATTTGTTTGTTTACTGAAAACTGATACTTCTTTCTTATGTACTAATTAGGGACAAAAATATAGATAGAAGACGAAAATATATAAATAATAATTTGTTATATTTGTATTATTAATGACTAATATAAAAACGAATATTTCAAATAATATCGTCGAAAAAAAACAACTACGTCTTCTTGATAGATGTCATACATAGATATAATGATGTAATACAAATAGAAATGATATTTTTGGACAGTGAACAAAATCTATTCTTTGATTTCAAGGGTATAATTTTTATATGTAATATGTAAATATTATTACCTGAATCAGTTGCTATTAAATGAATATAATTTATGTTCGACAAATATTTATTCTCTGACACCGATATATAAAAATTTATAGAGATGTGATCGACCGTAATAGACCAGTAGTACTTGTGCCCTCTTCTTTTTATTTTTAATTATTCCTTTTGAATAGAAAACTACCGCATGTATTAAGCTATTACGTGTGAATATATAATACTTCTTTATCAGAAGCATCGCGATAAGCATCTGGTGCTTGAAAAATAAACGTCTCTTAGATAAAGAACCGAAAAACAAAGAAGTATTTTTAGACTTAACTCGTTTTAATTATTAAATGGAACCTATAGAAAATTGTTGATATTTTACAACTAGGATCATATGTTGCAATGATTCGAATCTAATATTGTCTAAGTTGTAAGTCATTTAATTGAATGTAGTCTATCTAACATTCTAAACTTGATACTTGTACGATTTAAATTAATTGAATGACTCTTAAAAGAAGTAAACTAACCTCGGATACAATCACAAATAGTAATGCTCTATTGAAAATATAAAATGGAGCTTTCATCTACTAAATGTTATTTTCACCAAGAAGCAAAATTTATTGTCTTCTAATCACGAGTTTTCTTGCCTGAGTCATACAGATGTGTTTTTTTTCTCGTTTCGTTTTTACATATTGATCCTGGCGTTTATTGAGTATCATCAACGTGTCAAAAAAAATAACAGAATCATTCTATTTTTTTACTAGTCTCTTCAGTGTTCGATATTAAGAAAAACAACAAAAAACAAAATCCAATATTTGCTCTTGGTTTTTTTTCGATAACACAATCGCCAATACCTTATCTTTTTGTTCTATACCAAAAATTGAGAAACTATGCTTCGTATGTTGTGGTCACTTCTAGATGGGCCCGAGTACACTTGCTTATCAATAAATGGGGCAGTAGGCGAATAGTGTTGAAAACAAGAATATATGGCTATGCTGTTGTTTTCTCTTACCTATGATTTATACCCGTAAAATAGCAAAAATAAAATGGGGTAAAAAAAAAAGAAGCAAGCCAATAGCGCACGTAAAAGCTACTCTTTTGACTCATGATGCATTTTTTCTTGCTTCTTACGCGTCTCGTTTGTCTTCAGCCCACACTGTAATATTTTACATTTCTTTTATTCAACCCTTTTCCCCTCTTTCCCAATCATTTTTTCCTTTATACCTATTGCAATTATTTTGTGTAATATATATATATATTTCATCACAAAATTTCCGTTTGTGTCATGACATCAAACAAAACTGTCACAGATGTTGCATGCAAACTGATGCCAATTATGCTGTGCTTTTTTTCGTAAAGTTTTAATGACCTAACAAACATAACATAATAACAACATCGAAACTTCACAAGACAAACAGAATAATGAATATCTTATCTTGACTTATGATGTATAAAAGGTGATAAAATTCTGACGCATAGGTTACTAAACAAATATATTCGTTTACGTATGCATTGAATAGGCGTAGGCTTTTTAATTTCGATGATTGTAATTATATAGACATGTGTCATATATATATTCTTTATTGAAATAGATTTTATATGGTTGCTGTTAGAAACATTTTCTCAATTTAATTTCTTTTTGTTAAAATAACGCCAGTCATACACCGATTTCTTTTTCTTGTCCTCTTTTAAAGCATAGAGTAAAAATCGACCGATTTATTTTCATTTTTCTTTTCTCACTCAACGATAGTAACCATGATCATCATCATCATCATGAAAAAAAAAAAAAGAAACGGAATGCTTCTATGTATGCGTTTTTAAATGTATCTCAATGTTTTGTTGTTGCAATTGATGTTGTTATTCTTCGAAACCACATGTGTTTAAAAAAGAAAAACGAGAGAATCAATGTAAAAAAACGAAACAATTGAAGACTTGTCAGAAAGTTTTTGTATTTGAAACTATAGAATAAAAAAATATACATAAATTTGTTAATTTAAACATTATTAACACATGACGTCACAAAAGTCAAATGAAGAAAAAGTAACATTTATTTTATTATTTTCTCGTAATCAACCATCATGTGATATACCATATTTAATGGCACATCGAGAAGAACGTATCTGTCCGATGTTATTAACAGCAACTTTTTATTTTATGCGTGATCTTGTTGATTACAGGTAGAAAAAACCTTAATGAACTAGAACTTTTTTTTGAATTAGAATTATTAAATTTTTTTTTATACATTAGAGCTATTTCTTTTAAAAATTCAGTTTATATTATCGGAGGTCGTTACGCATCAACAGGTCGTTTGTCATGTACTGTTTTCAAATATGATGCTGAAATTGATTTTTGGCGTACGTGTGACTCAATGCGAGCTCCACGGTACTAAAAATTTTCTTATCGTTTTTATTCTTTTCTTTTCCTCTTAGAATTAATTTTTCTGTAAGCACTTTTGATTCAAAAATCTATGTACTTGGTGGAGAAGGTCTTAAAGGTGCGATTATACAAACAGTTGAAGCTTATGATCCAACAATTGATCGTTGGAAAGAAGTAGGTACATTACCAAAACCAAGACGAAATCATGCAAGTTGTACAATTAATGGAAAATTATGGTCATGTGGTGGTGTTAGTTCATTACTCGAAGCTCAATCAACAAATGAACTAATGTTAGTGAATGAATTATTTTAATTAATTTTTATTGTTGAAATTCATTTCTTTTTTTTTTAAAGTATTGTTGATCCACGTCCAAATGAATGGAAACGTTCATTAACAACGTTTACATTACCTGATCCACGTCAACAACATTGTTTAACTTTTATCAACAATACTGTATTTATATTTGGTGGTAAGCAAAACTGAATTCTAATTGGTATCAATTTTGTTACTTTCTAAGTATAGGATGTGAAAAAAATGGTGAAGATGTTCATAATATTCATAAAATTGCTCGTATTAATAATCCATCATCAGACAGTACACCTGTTTGGGAAGAACTTAACAGTCAATTGCAACATCCACGTACAGACTGTGGTTATTTTCAATTAGGTAAAAAGTAGAAAATTTTTTTTTTCATGAATTTATTTTAACCATGATTTTCTTATACTAAAAACAAAAAAACAAAGTGGCCATATTTGACAAAGGTGTGTTGTTTTTCTTTGAGGGGAAAAAAACGGTAGGGTCATTATGACTTTTTTTTTAATGACTTACATTAATTAGAACGATATAAAATAAAAAATTAATATCTGCGTCAACATTAAAAAGAGTGTAATTGTTATTTCTCAATTAATAGCGACTTACGGCTTTCAAAAATTGAAAGAGAAGAACTTTGAACGTATTTTTATCTGATACCATATAAGAGATAATTATTTTAAAATCCGTCATTTTTTCAAAATACTCAAGCACATGTCAAAATAAACGTTACATCGAAAATAAACACTTTTTTTTTTAATATAAGTTTTTTCTTGTATGTTTTACGAAAATGATAGATTTTAAAATTACTTTTTGTCTTACATGTTATAATAAGAAAAATATACTTGTATTTCTCTTCTGTTGGAAGCTATAGCTCGCTAACGATTATCATTATCAAGTTTTTGAGAAAACACATCTACCTACCTTTAATTATAGCATGGACATATACAAGCATACGTTTTATATTCTTCGAATAATAAAATAGTATCTGTCATAGTTAGATAAAGAATTTCAATTATGTATGTTGATTTCACTTATCTTTCTGTAATATAAGAATATTAAAATAGTTAAGATAGTCTAAGTCATATTCAAATCAACATAAGCATGAAAATTTTACGTTTAACACGTGATGAATGATAAATATGTATATACGTTGTAATTTTAATATAAATTATATCTTTTCTTCTTTTTTTTCTACTCAATATAACACTGAAAATACTTTTTCATTCTTTCAAATAATTCAATGATGCATATTTTCACACAATAGCGAAAAGGTATTAGAATAGAATCTTCGAAATAAATTTTACCAACTGCTCTTCTTCACATAAGTATTACGTAGAGCTCAGTGAATCTAAAATACGACATTCAATAGGTGTTATCAATCAAAGTCATATGAATGATAAGTTGAAAGTCGATAAAACGACGATAAGAAAAAATATTTGTTTTTTCTCGTTGGAAGTGAAATTTATCTTTTTTGGAGTGCGAAGGTTTTGACAATGGTGGACTTTAATCTAGATACGTAATCATCACCTGTTATAGCTAGTAAAGATAACTTGACATAGAGAAAACATTTGAAGTTTCTTACATATTCAGATATGCTTGTACAGATATATTTAGAGTGACTTTACAAGATTCTATTACAATCAATCTAAAGATAAAATGAATTAGAAGATCATATTAAAAAGAAAAAAGTCTTTCAATTTTAACAACTATTTCTTTGCTTAGGTAATTCATTATATATTGTTGGTGGTTATAATAGTGAAACAGGTCGTTCAACAAA